AGCTCAGAGTAGAAAGAAAACAAGACAGGGCACAGCATAGTTAGTTCGTGTCTCGTTTGAAAGGGAATAGATTTTAAAGCGCGAAATTTTCAAAGTATCGTTGAATCGGCCATAAAAATATCGTCGATGCCGATGTATCGGCAAACTTCGAGTATCGCCGATATATCGGTATCGGATGCATCCCTTATTCTTATACTGCCACTACATTAATGTAAAGGTTAATGTTTCTTTCTGTACTAGTGTGCGCATAAGGTATCTTTTTTTATTTCTTACTGTTTATGGCGGGTGTCAAGACAGTGTGTTAGGTGCCGTGTTTTTGTTCATTTTTGCAGTAAATAATCGGTATCATTATGCCGAAAGTGATTAAAAGTGCTGGCAGGTATAATAACTTGAAGGTCAAAGGTGCTTGTGAAGAAGAACTATACAATAACGGGCCTACAATAGCGTTTTCGAAAGTTAGGGCCCGTGTTGCATATTTGACAGGTAATTTTTAAGGCTGCCATAACAATAAAACTCCACAATTTTCTCGTTTTTTAGTTTCCCTCATGTCATTAATATCATTTGTTTTTAATTTGTTTTAGCCGTTTCAGAACGCAACGTCACGTCACCCAGACAACTCAAGAGGATGATGTGGCAGCAGCTTCATCTTCTAAAATTGTGACGCCGGGAAAACTAAGAACCAGAGGAAAAAATTATGATTAAGACGATTTTGATATAAAACATTTAATTCAATCGTTTAATGTCATGAAGAAAGAGATTCCTACCATATATAGAATAAACTTGGGTTGGAATTGAAAGGTGATATTGATTTTGAATATGGCAGAACATCATTGAGGAGTATTTTAAAGACTGTGGGCTACAAATACAAAAACTGCCAGTCTAAACGAAAAGTATTGGTAGAACGCAGTGATACGGAAGCTTGGAGAACAAAATGTATTCTGAGGTTGCGTATGAATCGTCAGCAAGAAAATCGACCGGTTATTTACGTTGGCGAATGCGATTTAAATCGCATCGAAAAAATTTAGGCAATAGTAAAGAGGCGCTTTGCAGAGAAAAATATTATTCAAGCTCCTAGCAAAATAGCGAGCTAGCGAATGGAAGACGTTGACCCCGAGGACCATTGTTTCACCAAATTTAAACAAATACTACTAGGTATTTAATAAAAAATTTACAAGGTTTCCACGGACTTTTTCCACAGAATTTCATTCTTTATAATAAAAATTATAGTGCTGTTTCAGTTCTGTTTCAAAATACCTTTTTTGAAAAATTCGTTATAGACAAAATATTGGTGTTCATTACTGTTTTTAATAGTCATTTCTAACACTTATAATATTGTTGCGCCTAAGTTGACGTCTGGTACCTGGCACTAGTGCCATCTAGTGTCGGGGAACAGAATGAGGAGGGATTTCTAGAAAATGCCATTCCTGAACTTTCCACCAACAGCACCATTTAGTATCAAATGGAAGAACTAAGCTTTCTAGAAAGTCCCACACTCGAACTTTCTGCACTTAGTCGGTCGGGACCGGTAGTTGCTGTAACATTCTGGATGTTTCGGTGGAAAAGGCCTATTTAAGGCCATTGGAGGTCGCAACCGAGGCAGTATTGAATTGGCGATACGAGTGAAACTTTCGGAGCGAAATAAAGTGAACTAAAGTGTTAAGTGTGAATAATTATTAGTGTGATTTAAGTTTCAATTGGTGTTCAGTAATTAAAGTGTCAATTTTGGTAATTCTATGAGCAGTTTTTATTCTCACGAACTCTAAGCTCGTAACAGTATCTTCACATGTAATTATGTAAAAAAACTGTAAGTTAAATTCGACCAAATTCTCGGTTTTCCATTGAGCAGAAATTTGGCATAATGTAAGCTTTAGTTTAAATGACAATGCATGGTTAGACACAAAGATATAATAATACACTATACCAGAGAGTTCACTGACCTCTATATATATAAACACGCAAGTGACGTCATTCTAAATCTAATATGTCGAACTCCCAAAAGAGTTATTTTGATATGAGAATCAAATAAGTGTATGCGCAAGCGCAAGTGCACTCTCTATTACCTCACTCTCATAATCCGATGGGACGGGAAACCGACACGACCAGAGAGATCAGGCGCAGGATCAACGGCTTTACGTGCTTTCTGAGGCACGGGGGTGAGACACCGCCAACTTTCTGACTCCGGGCACTTACTGAGAATTTCTTGACAGAAAATCTCAATAATTGATTTTTTGGCCCGGCCCGGGATTCGAACCCAAGACCTCACGATCAGCAGCCGCACTACTACAACCACTAGACCAACGAGGCAGTCCGGTCAGTCAGTGTAGTGTAATAGGGGTATAAACACTACACACGTTGTGACTATTAGTGTTTTATAAAAAATAATAATGCGCGGACAGGTGTGGCGAGAATCATTCTCGCGGCTTGGACGTTTCAGTGGCTAAGCAGACACCTCATCTTGAGATTGATATCACCATCGGAACACTTGTTTTACCGTGTCCACTAATAGTTCACACGCGCAAACATTTTACACAGAATTTCACCACTTTTACATATCAAAATCCATTTCAAACCATTATTTATACAATAACACAAGATCAGCAATCCGCCGCCGGTCAAGTTCCTAACAGAACTCATAACTATTAGTTATATTTTATATTAATTAGATTGAAAATAAATAAACCAAACCACAGATATTCATAAAACTAGAAAAATAAAAAATGAGTTAGAAGTAAAAACTATTGGACAAACCACGGAGGCATTGTTTTGTATATTAATTTCACACTCTAGAAAGTGATAAGCTTTTATTTGAAACTAACTTCTCAATTAAATGACATTGTGTATGTTCACCTCAGTGTCGTCAGCTAGTGACACCTGATGAACGGAAGATTATTTGCCACTGACCTCTATATATATATATATACAAGTACGCTGAACTGGCTATACCATCGATGATATTATAAGTAAAAAGGTGTAGATAGGTTACCTACACGATATTCGATCTTCAGAAACGGCACACTAACGCACACATAAATAACTAAATATTGCAATAGCACCCTACATTACGATTAGACGTCAAAGTAGGATGGCATGATTAAACTTTCGCAAGCGTAAAAGAGACAAATGTAATTTGCGACAGCGCGTGGTCTTGTGTAGTAAAAACGATGTAGAATAATTAATCAAATATAAAATTATTCCGTACACCGTGATTTATGCCTAAAACGCGATTCACTCATAAGTGCAAGTAGTAAAAGTAATAAAGTAGTAAAAATGCATTAAAAGTAGGAAAATAAAAAATATTGGTTTTATTAAAAATTTATTATCAAATAAAGTGCTGTAATAATTATTTATATACGAACGTATATACTACTTTGTTACGCTACAAAACAAATAAATTGAACTTATTAATTAATAATGACATAGTTAATTTACTTTTAATTGGGGTATTTTTGTTCCTCTCGATTTTTTTCTGACAATATATTTTAAAATACGTAATTTTTGAATTTGTAAACAATACGAAAATAAATTAAGGAAATAGTAAACGAATGAAATATGATTCCTTTTGACTTTTGGAAACCTTTCTTGTGTAGTTTGTGCAGAATCTCATCACATATGAGTATGACGGCATTTTCGGTGCAAAAACAAAACACGAATTACTATCAACGCCGTTGTCAATGACGCGACGACTGAGCTCAGGTTTGATAATTAGCCTAGTTTTTATGTGCCACTTGCGGTGCGCGTATAACCTATCTACCTCTTTTTCTTATAATATTATTGCTATACGATACAAAATATCTGTGCCGATTTGAAACGCCACCATTTTCTGTATCGGGAACTAAAATTTACATAATATGCCCAAAGTATTATTTAAATAGTATCGCTGTATTTTAAACTAAAAAACGAAAGTATTTTATGTGGTTTGATTGTGAATAATTTTAGTTACATAATAAGAATTATTTTTAATACTAAAACTCGTTACCAAAAGGAAAGTGGTATCACATTTCATAAGTAGGTGAATTTACAGCTAATATTAAACAAATTAAACTATTTGTTAACTAACTAAACACGTCGTAGAAACGACAAAATAAGTACTGCGATGTTAATATAAATCTTTAATTAATTTGTCTGTAGGTACCTTAAGAACTTGAGATATTGTCGACTCGATGTTGACTGTGCTGGTCCAAGCTGTCTTAGAAACCTCCACAACACTCGGGCATGTTATGACATAATATTGTAACTGCATCAACATGATCATGAAGGTTAGAGAACAGGAGAACGATCGCCGTAGAAAATAGTGTCCCAGAAATATGGACATCATAAGTGAGGCGCTGCGATCGTTAAGTTCGGTCAATAAAAGTCATTTTCAGTCTATTTTTCCGATCAGATGCTAAATCACTTGCCCATCCACGCACAATAAAATATTTCTCCATTTTTTAATGTTTCTTTTTGTCAAAAATTACAAAATTACGAAGCATGAAAATTTTCTCACCAGTGCCGCGGAGAAAATTTGTACATTATTCAACTAACTTCATTCACTTGTACTCAAAAACAGTTAATTTTGCAGTCACTACTCATACTCACCGACGTCAGTGCCGCAATAAATTCTACAATTTTCAAGGACAGGCGGGCTATGCTTTAGTACGTAGTGATCGTTCTCTTGTTCTTTAATCTCCAAGAACATATTATGTTCACGGAGGGAACTTCCCAACATACATATCATGTTGGGAAGTTTTTAAACAAAATACAAAACTTTATTTCATTTTGGCAAAAGTACAACCGTTCGAGTCCATCACTAAAGAAAAAAATCTTCCATCTGTTTTCTTCGTTATGTCAAATTTAAAAATAATGTATCCGTTGAAATCGTTGGTGTTGAGAGTATTTGTGTTGTAGTTTTTTTTCTTTATGGTGTTCAAAAATAGCCAGGAACCAGATCTGTATTGTTAACGCAGTAAGCCATTTTCACGGAATTTTATAAAACTGTGATAAGGTACATTAAACGACGAATGTTTTCGAATATTTTGGGTGTTGATACGCAAGTACCAAATGAAGGAAGTAGTTTAAAAAACATTTATCAAAAACTTCAAAGTTTATTGGGTCACGGAGTTGTTGGAAACACGGAAATAGAAGACAATATGTTGTCTGCAAGAGGAACTACGGCTGCATCTGATGACAGTTTTACAACACCATCATCGGCTGTATCATCAGTGTCCGATCTCATGGCAATGTCACCTAAAAAATCAAACGAACATTCTGATGTGACTGGTGACTTGTTAACTGGCACAGATTTTGATAGTATATGTGACGTGACTATGCAGGAGATCCCGACATCCCAAGATGTATTTATAGATGCAACAAGTTTAGATTATCTCGCGGAATGTGCTAAATCAAATCGTAATCATACGTTTGTTGATCGGGGAAAGGAAAGTCTTTTTGTAAAATTTGACCCATTATATGCCAAACAAAAATTAATAATCTCAGGCTCAAATTGCACAGACTCTTCTGAGAACTCAGAATGTGATGTTGGATATGAGACAGGTAGTGCTACATCAACTACAGAGCATCATGTTACCAGTCCTAAGCATTCATTATCAGTGGGAGCAATCATAACTAAGGAGAAGCCAATGCAAGTTGTGCCCCCAGTAGTTAGCTCTGAATTTCCTAGAACAAGTGCTACAAATATGCGAACTACTCCAGCATTGATACGCAGTGTCTCTGCTATCTTAGCACCCACTAGGGTTGCAACTGAGAGATTGATAAGCATCTCTGGTAACACCACTCCAACAGCTGCCCCACGTAGTCCTCGTTACACTAATTACAGCCACCAGGAAGTGGATAGGCTGCAGTCTCTCAGAGTCATTTTACAAAAGCAAGATCAAGAAGTTTTGCAATTGAGGCAAGAAAATAGAGAGTTGAGATCTTCATTGCAAGATATGGAACATAAATATTCTCGAACAATAGAAGAACTCGAATCAAAAGTCAAAAAATTAACAAATGAGAAAGATATTTTAGCAGACCGAGAAAATAGTTTATTGAAGCAGGTCAGTGATAAAACCCTAAATAATAAACAGATGAGTATTGTCATGGAAGAATATGAAAAAACCATATCATCATTAATTGGAGAACAACAGCGTGAGAGAATCCAAGCTCAAGAAACAACTGAAAGACTTATTTTAGAGAGAGATCAGGCCCTCAATCATCTATCAAGCATGGAAAGTTCCTTTAATGATTTACTAGCTAAATATGAAAAATGTAAGAGTGTTATTATGGAAACAAAAGACAGAGAAAAAATATTTGAGGAAAAACTTTTAGAATATGAAAATGGTTTAAAGAAATATGAAGAACTATACAATAATTTAAAACACATTACATCAGAAAGTTTAGATAAAGCAAATGAAACATTAGAGAACATTAAAAAGAATCATAACATAGAAATCACTAAGTTAAATGCAATAATCAAGAAACATGAGATTTCAATATCATCACTTCAAGAATCTTTGTTGCAAAAGACTAGAGATAATGAGGAGTTAACAAGAATATGTGATCAACTAATCAATGAAGTGCGCTGAATAATTATTGAAGTATTATTTTGGGAAGGTTTTATATTGGTAATTTTGTTTGGAATCCTTAACTGAAAATGTGAAATTTTACTAAAACTAAATTGTTTATGCCTTATAAAAGTATAAAGTCAAACATGCAACCCTAAATAATAAAAAGGTTAAAAATATCTATAAAAACTTACCTTTTTACTAACTGTATATTATAACATTATTATGCAGTTAGTGTATCCAGCAAGGTAGCTTTTCACAATCACTGTTATGGGTCCCGAACAAAGATATATTGTAATTAGTTTGCTGTATTATTGTAACAGTATAATTTTGTATTTATTTCAACTTATTTGTTAACCACAACCCTTATTTCTTTGTATATTTAGATTTACTTAAAGGCTTTTTTAACATTTTAAACACAACAGTCAATAAATTAAAAGATACTGATGATGACTTTAAAATTCTTACCTTTGTAAGTTGATATAAAATGTCACTCACTTTTGAGATTACAATTAAATCATAAAATGAATATTAAATATATTCTTACTAATTTCATGCTGTTTAGTTTAAACTTATAATGTTGCAAGAATATACTAATGTTTACATTTTGTAGTAAGATAATGTGACAAGTAACTAAATTTTCACTTGGGCACAACTTTAGTTCACCACATGCATTCAATGATTCAGTCTAAAATATTTGTTTTTTTAACTTAAAGTATTTTTATTGGTGCTTTTTCATTTTTTAGTATAAAATTTGCTGCACTTGTGCTCATTTTGTCCTTAATCTTACATTGCCTTAATAGTTATGTGTTAATTAATGTTCTTAGTGTTGTTACAAATTTATAATCTAATGCTAATTGACATCTTTTTTTTCTTACATATTATGTTTGTGACATTTATTGAATAAAATTTGTTTTAAAGTAATCTGTGAATAATTTAATGTATAGCTATCCCTTGAAGTTAACAACATTTTGCATATTACTTGTACAGAAAGAATCCATTTAAATGAAAAGCCATATCATTTTCACAAATGGTTGCACTATTTGACATTTATTTGTATGTTTAAAATAATAATAATATATTTACCAAAGATTTCTTAAAGCAAATTAATTACCATTTATAACAGCCGTCCCAAGTTCTTTGCTGAACATAAAACAGCATACATTTTTATAATGTTCCTTACAATAGATTGCCAAAAACATGGTTCTTTACTCCTGTATCTGTCAAATTCTTGTATGCTTCTTCTCAGTATGTAGTGTGAGTAGGCTGGTGGGAGGTTAACATTACTCAACACTGTACTTGCTAGTATGGGGCTGCTACTCAAGAATTATTTATCATCATTGGCCATCATCATCAATCAGTTTTTTTAAGTTTTAAAGGCAATCCAATTCCATTTCAGCCTACTGATTCATTGAGCTTTGTTGGTTACTCTTGTTCTGCTGTGAGTTGAGTTTACTCATTATGGATTTTATCACACAGATGAACCACAAGCCAAGCCTAAATATATTAATAGTTACGTTACAGCCATCCCCTCAATTAAAGTAACTATTAATATCTTTATTATAATTAATTTCCGCAAAGTTACGCCTGATTCTATCAATTACATGCATAGCCTCTTAATTTTTAGCTGAATTACTTTGCTTCCTTATATGGCCTGCAATAAAAGACCATGTCACAGTCCTGTAATATATCACTGGGACCATCTTGAAAATTAGTTTTACATGTTTAATACATAATTTTTTTTTTCAGGTGAAACTGATCTTATTTGGTGCTTCAATGAACCCAATGTGCTAGATAAGTTTGTGACAACCAGTGACAGTGATCACAATGAAGGCTATAGTAAATGCAGCCTTGAGATGAGCCCCGCAGGACGGGCAATTTTCCATGGTCATCTAGATGACAGGGTTCCCAAAGATGGACGAATTAAAAAGGCTGGATATTGTGCCATGCGTTCCAAGAGAATCAGGGTAAAAGACTAATTTTATTTTTATAAATTTTATATTTCCTGGGGGAAATCTAAGTTTAGAGCTGGATTTGTGGGGGGTTGTAAATATTATAATAATGATGATGAAATGTCACGTTCACCACGTCGACCTGACCAAATCTATTTTTAATTAATGCAAGGAAATGTTAATTCATGTCCAATATTTCCAATTTTTTTTGTTTGTGTGTTGATTTGATTATGTCATAGATCGTTTTCGCACTATCCAAGCAGAAATACTTTTATTTCAGGAGTTATAAGTACATTTCCATAATTGTGTTAAGTTAGGTTGCTATCAAATACTATGAAAAAGTTTAAAATAAAAAAAGTTAAAGTTATGTATCCACAAAGAAAAACAGTTCATTTTATTACTTTAACCACACGCATTTAGCGCAAAACTTTAATTTTAAAGAATACAACATTTATTGTCATTAAATATTTTACATTTAGCGCAAAACTTTAATTTTAAAGAATACAACATTTATTGTCATTAAATATTTTAATTGAAACAGTAAAAACTCGTATCAAAAAGAGATTCATTAAAATACAAGATGAAACCATTTTTGGTTTAATATTGAAATTCCACTATTATTCAATAAAATATAAAATAAGCCGTGGTAGCTAATTTTACGCTGGTATTCTGTGAAAGTGTGATTGTGTATCTTTTCACCCGGTCAAGCTGACCCTTTCGTGCTATAACCATAATAAAACTGCAACATAGCTCGACTATACGTAACTATATCAAACGGTGCAAATAACCTATTATTTGTAATAATGACTTTGTATATTTACACAAATACTACACATTGAGTAAATTTAATTTTACTTATTTTATCACATTTGATTTTACTTATTTTAATTCCCGATGTTTCGGGTGCTCTACAGCATCCAGGTCACCGGGCTCTGATATGCTTGTAGTCCTGATGTCATAATTAATGAAGGCTATCTTCAACTTTAAAATATTAAGAACTGTGCAGAATGATCTTGCAGTATCTTGAAGTCTGTATAAAATTTTATTAATTATAGGATCTCAAGCATTTTCTATATTGAAATTAGAATGTTTTTGAATTAAAATAGCCTGGTGAATAATCCTTGGCAGAAATCGGTGTTCTCATGCGAGAAATTTTGACTTTCTCGGCAGTGAACGAAAACATCCAGAAGAAACCTGCATGTCTGAGGAATAAACATATTTCGAGGACCGTGAAGGACATGCACTGGTAAAGCGGCGGACTAACTGCTCCATAACCCTCTCAGAAATGAGAGAAGATCTGTGCCCAGTATAGTGTACTGTGGGATGTAGTAACTTTATATTAAAATACTGTTGCACGCTTTAATTAGCGCCCGGTATATGGCGGGTGATTATCAAGCAGCAGAAATAGGAGCGTCAAGATCTTTCTAGAACTCTCCCACTAGCGCCATCTAGTATCGAATAGAAGAACTAAGCTTTCTAGAAAATTCCACACTCGAATTTTCTATATCTAGTCAGTCGGGACCGGTATTTGCTGGAACATTCTAGATGTTTCGGTGGAAAAGGCCTATATAAAGCCATTTAGCGCCTCGACCGACGCAGTTTTGAATTGGCGATACAAGTGAAGACTTAGGGGCGAAATAAAGTGAACTAAAGTGTTAAGTGTGATTAATTATTAGTGTGTATGAGTTTTAATTGGTGTTCGGTAATTAAAGTGTCGATTTTCGTAATTCAATCGGCAGATTTTACTGTCACGAACCTTAACCCTAGAACCTTACCCATATTTTACAGCGACTTTTCCTACCCAGGGTGACCGAGCACCCTGTTATGTAATGAGACATATTTTCAAGAATTATAATAAAAATGCAGTTTTTTTTGTATATAAACTTATTTATTGGTTCTTTTAGGAATCAACTTAAAAAGCATATAGTAAAAGTAAACGGTTTAAACACATTTAAAACAAACTTTTATCTGATGCTCTCCACAGATAGGCGTTTTACACTTATTGCAAAAAGTCTTACTTTTTCTGTCTTTTGAATAGGGGCAGAATCTACAACGTCCTTGTTTAACGACACTAGGAGCTGGACTATCAGGCTCATTTGGCGTTTTGAGTGTGACGTTTATCATTTGGCGGATATTGTGACTCAAAGTAGGCCAATTTTTTCTTTCTTTTAAATAAGGTTTTAAAAGAAAGTTTTCAGATATGTCCGTCTATTGGGTATATTTTCCTTATTTATTGAAGAACTAAACTTCAGCAATATCATAGAGTTGATACCGACTGTATTCAATAACCCGTAAAACATGCATAAAGGCCAGCGATGAGTCTTACGTGACACTGAATAGAAATGGCACAGTCAAATGTATCAACTCCTCCTTTTCTTTTGTTATAAAAATCGATCATTTCGGGCTAAAAAACAGTTTTATCTTTATCGGGAAGAATGTGCATTGTTGACAGTAAATTAACAACCTTCTTCTGGCTACCTTTAGGTGGACAGTAGGCTAGTAATGTAAGAGGTCCACTGTAAGCAAACTTGGCGGAATTTTTCACAAAAGAACGTTGGTCTTTCATTTCTGCAGGTATCTCTTTTTTATTTTGTCTTAGAGTTCCAACTAATGTTATATTCTTTTCAAGTAATGCAGTAGCTGGTGGAATCGAAGTAAACCAATTGTCACAAGTCAGGTTTCTATTGGTGCCGTGTATAGGAGATGTCAAAGACTGGAGATAGTAATCTGCGACGGGTTGTATCCTTGGAGTACTTTCTTTGCCTAAGTATACTTCTGCGTTTATCATGTAAAACGTTTTTGAATCACACAATAGTACTATTTTTATACCATACTTATCGGGTTTGTTGGGAATATACATTCGGAAGCGACACCGGCCCCTAAATCCAAGCAGTTGTTCATCCATTGTGCAACAATCAGTGGGGGTGTAATAATCAAAACTTTTTTTTACTATATCATCAAATAATTTCCTTATCGGTGCCAACCGATCTGCTCTCCGACGATCTTCTCGTGTATTTTTATCATCGAAACGTAAACAGTTCGTAAGGAACTCAAATCGAGACCCCGACATAGTAGCTCTGAAATATGGTATTCCAGTGTCTTTATCGAATAGCTCTTTTACTGTGACAGCATTCATCTTCAAAACTCCAGACAAATAATATAAACCTATCAGGGCTTTTATTTCAGAAATTGAAGTATCCCGCGTGTAAGATGGTCTAACATTTCCAGGACCTTCGTCTAAATCGTAATTATGTCTGTCGCTGTTATATTTTTGACGTTGTAATGTGATTTCAGCATTAGTAAAAGACACGATACGTCCTAGTACATCTTCATCAAAAAATAAAGGCCAAGCCTCTAAACATGTAGAAATTTGTTTAGCAGGTCCTTTATTACCGGGAGGGTGCAATATTATATTTCGTCTTGGAGTACGTCCCGAGAATTGCGGAGTTTCGCCACTCCATTTGTATCTGTTTGCACCATATAATCCTGTGGGCACTTCGAATAATTTTAGAAGATTACTCGTCCTCGCTTGTAAGCTGGCTATAGTCTGATTATCTTCTAAATCTGACGAAGATTCATCGTGGTGAAAGTCGTCAATGATTTCATCAGGTTCGCCGTCTGACTCCGCGCCTCCAACGATCTCATCCTCATCGGAATCATACTCGAGAAACCGCTCAATGCTCTCATTCGTCAACCCTCTTCTAGAACCCGCCATCTTATTTCACAATACTTATAACCTATAAATGAAATGCACTTCTAAACACAGGAACATAGATATTACAATATTTATAGCTATAAATAAGAGACTGATTTATTTGAAATATTTGCGTATTTTACTACCCATGGGTGCTACAGCACCCTGCATTAATTATTTACAATACTTACCGGTATGACAGTCAATTTTCAACTAGTACAAAATGGTAAACATGATTTGTCAGGAGATTAGAAAAAAATAACGAACCTGTGTTGCCATTAGTTAAAAAAATATTATATACCAAAGTTACCACAGGGTGACACAGCACCCTGGGTAGGGTTCTAGGGTTAAGCTCGTAACAATACTATTACTTGAATGCCATTCCTATTTTGGATGAGCTGTGGTAGTTCAGGGGCTAAAAATAAAGGGCTGCTGTAAATTTCGTAGTACGCAGCTCGGGTTCGATCCCCGCCGGCACTTATGAAATGGTTAATGATAATTTTAAGTACTGTACTACCGAGAGCTCCGCTTTGAAGTAAAACATCGTGAGGAAACCTGCATGTCTGAGAAGTTTAAAATAATTTCAAAAATATGTTCGAGTAGAGTCTGCCAACACGCTGTGGGATAGCGCCGTGGACACTCAGTAATATGAGAAGGCCTGTGCCCAGTAATAAAACGTATATAAGTTCTTTACTTTACTATATTGGTCTAAATAATCAATTATGTTTTTGTATAATCGTTTAATAATAGTTATTGTTATTAAACATTCTTAAACTAAATCGCAAACCGTATATATTATACCGCCTACTGATTATTGTTTTAGTTAAAGCGTGTGGCAAGGGCAAGTGATTTAAGATTAAATAGAGGCTTTGATAAATTAAAAAAACATAATAATTTGTCAAGTTTCGGCCGCGGAGGCTAGAGAGTGCAACGCCTCGCAATACCGACACTCCTCTCGCCCCCACGGCACCACCATCACCACATCAAAGGTGCGGTCCCGCCAGAGTCGCACATATTCATACCAACATTCCTTTTTTCCCCACGACTCCAACTCGGCTGCAGCGTAGAGAAAGAGGCCACCCCTTTCGCCGCAGCCAACCAACACACTTCGGAAGTGGGCTTGTCAAACCTACTCGGAATGGCCATCTCGAGCCGGTCCTGCACCTCCGGCCAGCCATGTGAGTTCCTCTTTATTCACTATGAGTGACCAAGCCACGGCTACAAGGCACCCCCGCCAAGTTTGGGGGAGACTGTTGCTATTGACAACGTCACTACAGTTTAGCATTATTAATGTTAATAGCCTAGTGTGTGTAAAGCCCGG